TAGCTGCCATTTTGGAAAAAATAGCTACTGTTGCTTACCAGTTCAGGCTAATATTCAGCTAAATGATTTGCATGGTTTTATATGTTGCTAAATCACCAATATGTATCATAAATATTTTTAGACCTGGATAAATTTGCTTTGATGTAACAACCATTACACCTGTTATGCTAAAATTTTACTTTGACAAGCCAAAAACAGTTTTTAAAGTAAATGAGTGCCTTCCATTCCCCCCATGTGTTTCTCCTTTTCACAGTCTGGCAGAAATGATGGGTGGTTCCAAAATACATGTTCACATGACAGTAAAAGTGTACAGTTGCCAAGATACAGGGGGTGGATCAACTTACCCACTGGCTCAACTTACCCCACTCTCCACTACTTCCATTGAAGATGAGTCAGAAGCAGGCTCAGAGAGTGAGGGAGAGCCCACTCTTACCAAAACATCTACAATAAAGTCTGAAATTATTACAGAGCGTGCTGTCTTCTCTTTTAATTGTATATTTGTAATAATATATTTAGTACCCCTTTTTTGGTTTGGGCCACTGCCCCTCAAAATGTCTGTGCACGGCCCTGTTCCACAGGGTTCCCACTCTTTCATGGACACCAGATTCAAGTACTTTCAAGGACTTTTTAAAGCACCATTTATTTTATATCAAGCACCTATCAAATTCACACCCCAGCATATGTAGAGTCATGATAGACCAGTTACATTTACATTAAAAATTTAAGAGTAAAATTTAAGAGTAATAATAATGTTTTGAATGTGTAGCATAAACATAAATTCATACCGTTTTGAGCAGTCGTGTTCAAAGGAATTTAATGAAATCCATTGAAGTCAATACTGGTAATATTCAAATACAATTTCTCAATTATTGATAAAAATATATTTTCTTGCATCAAACTGGTTTTTACTGTAGTTCTTGTACAAGATTTAAATCTGAAAGTATTTCTCAATTTTTAAATGAATAAAAAGTGGTTAAATGTTGCAATAACATGATAAAACCTGTTAACATTAAAAATGTTCACTCAATAGAGACGTTACTCATTAATAAATAAACTGAAGTCAATTACTTTTTTTCATATTAACCTAAAGGAATGCAGCTGCTCAAACATGCAGCTGCCCAAAACTTCAGTATTTTTTAAAAATATTTCATGAACATTTTAAACCTTGTACGTGCAAATCTGCAAAAAAGAAAAGAAAAAAAGAAAAGAAATAAAAAATAGGACTTTCTATTTGCTTTTAAACTGTAAACGCTTTTCACGAAGATAAACCATGCCATTCAAAAACTGCCCAAAACAGTGCAATGACCATATCCCAAATATCAAAACTCAAAATATGTTATTTCCATACCTAAAATACATATTTTACGGTCACTGTTATGTACGTACACTGATCATAAAAACAGCTCAAAGGTTTCCTCCCAGTGGCCTTTCTTCACAAAACTTCACATCTAGTACAGTTTTATCATAAGTAGAATGCAAAATGTTGTAATACAAGCATTTCAGTCAAAAGTAATTTATGCAGTATTTCAAACCTTTAACCCATGGGGGAAATAAACCCACAGCAACAGTTTTAAAAGTAGCCCAATTCTATGAAAAAAAACAAGGACTTGACAACCCTGCATCCAACACGAGCTGCAGGAGTCAGATTTGACTAGGTCGAGAGAGATGACTGACAATGCTGGAGGATTTGCTGCTCAACAGATCCTGAGCTCATTGACAAATATCTGATCTTGTAAGATGTGCTCCCTTTACACAAAATGCGATTGGTCGCGAAATCGTGAAAGTAAACTGCGAGCGCTCATTCAAATGCGATTTCAACACCTCACATATTAATAGAGGCTCCCTGATATGCAAAAATTATATAAAATATTAGAATGTTTGCGGGAGCGGGCAATAATGGTCAGAAATTCAGCAGGAGCGGGCTTAAGAAAACAGTCCCGCGCAGGGCTCTAGGCTGCGCATCAACACACACGTAGGGCTGTGCGATATTGAAAAAAAATGCGATACGTGATACCTTGTTAAAAAATGCGATATTCGATATGCGATACGATATTGCTTAAAGTGTGAAAAATCTATTTAAATTATATTTTAAAATATTTTAAAATGAAAATTATATAACCAATTTGTTTCACATTCTTTCTTGGAAAAGAAAGAATCACTACAACTTCTGAAAGTGACCAGCAGTGTTTTAGCAGTACATAAAAAGTAATGTCACAAATCAGAAAATGTCATTTTAACATCAATGTGAATGACAAAAAAAATTAATGACACTAATTTTATATCATTGTGACTTTGCTTTCCATACACTTTAAGTACTTCTTCATATACCACAGCAAAAACTATAGTCTGAGAAAGTTCAAACATGATTAAAGGCAAGTTTGCACTTAACTCTTTTTAACGTCAAGCAATTCTCTGCTATATGCGAACTAAAACTTTGACCTTTTGCAACGTTTTGATTTAAGTATTATTAAAATGATTCAGATATCGCACACCGTTGTGATATGCATATCACAATATTTACATTTGCGATATTTCGATATATCGTGCAGCCCTAATGAAAATCTATTGACATTTTCGTCAACGAATAAAAACTCAACAAAAATGTTAGGGAGGGACAGGGACGATTTGGGAAGAGATTATATGCATACACATGAACTGTATCATAGCCTATATATCAGGCGGGACATAAGTAGAGGTGTGCGATATTGACAAAAAATTATATCTCGATATTTTATGGGAGCTAGTTAGTTCCAACAATATAAAAATTTATACTGTTGATAAACAATATAAAATCAGACGTCACATAGGGCTAAATGCGTAGCATTTTAATAAAACTGTTAACGTTACGGCAGTGGGGAATATGAACGTGCATGAGTTATTTTATTTAATCTGTGTTATTTTACTGTTTCGTTTTTTTTTCGTATACCTAAAACATAGAGACACTGATGTTGATGTGTCTGCATTCAAGCATTTCAGTGGGCTTAAATAGATCACCCTTTACAGCAGATTTAGTTCACAAACAACTGACATTTAGTTCACAAACAGCTGACAGTTTTGACCTAAATATGATTTTCAGTTACAATAATTAATCCTAAAATTCGACATTAGTAACCTTTAGCAGCATCAGTTGCGCGCGCGCGCTCACAAGATCTCCCGGTTCTTACTTGTGAATTCAGTTCACTGGAGACTCGCACTAAACGGTTCATTTGAAACAGTGAGTTGTCAACTCGAGAACAGCTGCAATCGGATCATTCTAATTCGTGAATGAATCGTTTGGTGCAATTTGCGAACCGATTTAAAAGGTTAATTGAAAAGAATCAGTTAACATACTGTTAATAAGACAGACTGCAGAGTACATATATCAAATCTAAAAGTATTTTTTATTGTTTTTAAGTCTTGAGTGGTAATGTTCTCAATAATAATTTGTTGGTATAATTAAAAAATATATATATATTTTTTTAAAACTTTTATTAAATGTAGACGGCAATGAGTACATGTTATTTACGCAACTCCTCAGAGCTGAAATAATCTTGTGTCTCCAAAACAGGAGGCACTGCAGGGTTCTTAGTCACATTCCCTTCTCTGCCCTCATTTTTTGTGCGGTGACACTTATAATATGTGAAAAAAAATTAAACAGGCCGCTACATTCTCTTAATGATCCCATTGTCACCTGGGGGCCAGTGGACCCCATGGAGAAGATATATAAAACAAAAAGAACTTACATTTTCAAGACATTTCTCACTATTAACTAACTTTTGAAATAATCAACTGTTAAGCTAATATAATGTCACATTAGCAGTTAATGATCTTAAAGTTATGATAAAGTAATGCTTTCTTTATACAGCCAAATGTTCATGTGGATGAAATGTTCATGGTGAAAAAAGGTGGAAAAACACAAGAAAAGTCCTGACAGCCAGTGATAAACACATATGGCATAATATCATTGTGTTCAATATCATTGCAACTTCTATGTGAAAGGTATTTCTCTAAATAAATCCAAAAATACATTAAAGATGCAATTTAAACAAACAAACAAAACAAAACAAAAAAAGCCTTCTATGAAGAGTCTTTTTTCTTTTTTTTTATATATTTTTAGGTGGTGTAACTGTCTGGACATATATAAAAAAAAGTCTCATTAAAAGGTTGTAATGTTGGTATTTGGCTTATTATTTATTTAAGAAAATAAACAGCAAAACAATTTTGTTTTAAAATATTACTTTAAAAAAGTCTGCCAAGTTAAAGTCAGAAACACAATTTTTTTGTCATGTGACAAAAGAGGACCCCTTCAGACCCTCAGGACTGTGTCAAGGTCATTTATTATTATTATTATTATTATTATTATTATTATTTCACCGTGTCTACACCAGACGCGACAGTTGTCGTGTCGCACCGCGCCGCGCCGCAACAGCTAAAGTCTGTCTACACTGGACGCAACAAAGCGACGGTTGAAAATCATTTGAAATTTGTGTCAGTAGGTCATAAATAGAACGCAGCAGCAGTTTACTGTCGGGAATTTGTCGCACCGCATCCAGTGTAGACAGCCAGGGCCGTTTCTAGCCAATTTGACGCCCTAGGCGAAATCCCTATTGCCCCCCCCAATTATATATATACATATATAATCATTGTGTTGCCACTAGATGCTGTATAAGCCCTATGTAACGATCTCTAGTAGCTAAGACATTGCACATGATTTACACATAAATCACACATAAATTAATTTGATTACATTTGGATTTGGATGCATGTTTAGATATTATCAATGGCTACTTTTTTGTCTTTATCTGTGTTTTGGTCAATTTTTTTGTTGTTGTTTCTTGAAACATTGATTTAAAGTGTCAGTTATCGACACCTCCGTAAGGATGCATTTAACTGGACAAAGCGGTTTAATAAAGGATATATTGATCTCGTGAATTAGTGAATTTTACTATACAAATATTTTTTCATCGGATGTTAAAGTTTATATTGGAATATTACATGACACGCTGATCATTTAACAATGCATTGGCGCAAAAAACGCACACCTTTTGGACAAATCTCGCAACATGATTTATCAAGTGCCACAAATACTGCCTAAACAAAATACTGATTTTGTGCACTTTATTTACTGTACCAATATTTTAAATTGGCCTTTGAACTTAGCTTTATTGCATGGCAAAAAAAAGTGTTACCTTGCCAAAGCACTGACAGAGCCCACTGACTGATCTAATGGCGTTGTTGAGCGCTCCAAATGCAAACTTTAAATGCAACAATCAGGCAGCAATTGACAGCACTCTGATCCAGTGGCATACAGGCATCGTCAGATTGACAGTACTCTAGCCCAATAATGGGGGATCCAGTGGGGGCGGCAGTCATATTTCAGGGTGACTGTGCCACTCTTTATCACAACCCTGCTAAAAGCGCCAGTACGTGTGCTCATTGGCGCCCCTTCAGCTGGTGGCCCCTAGGCGACCGCCTAGCTCGCCTATGCCTAGAAACGGCCCTGTAGACAGCATAATAGGTTCTATTGTATTTTGTCGCGTCCGTGTAGACACGGTGTTAGACAGGTCAAATGGAACAACATTAAGAAAATATCTTCTTGTGCGTGACTAAAATTTTAAAATAAATATAAAAAACCATGATATTTATAAAAAATATTTTTCTATTTAGATATATTTTGATAATTCAAATAAAAAAACTCAAAACTTTCAGAATTTGTAGAAAATTGTAGAAAATGAAATAACTGTTTTTTTTTTAATCTATGAAACCAACATGAATACAAATATTACATTGCTGTGAGCTTGGCACTTGTGTTTTAAACTACATTTTAAAACGATATCTCCTTTTCATCTTGGAAATTCTTATTTGCTATTGACTCATACAATATTTTCATTTTATTTTATTGTGACAGGTGGCATGTTGACTAGGGTGAGGCAGGTCATACGTTCTCATTTATTAAATAACCTGCCTGTCCATGCTTAATTATAACCACAAACAGCACTTGATGCAACCCTGACGCACGCACTAGGCTATTTATCGTCACGGAGCAGAGACAGCTTGTCCCTGATGATCTGAACATAGAGAAGGAGGAAACTCACTCAGTTATTGCGCTTGTGTTCATGCCGTTTGGCCTACATTCAGCAGCCGAACACTAGTGCTATTCAAACCCACGCTGAGGAGGAGACGCCGGGTGCAAAGTGAAATACTTCTAAAAACAAAAGCCAAATAGAAAACAGTTCAACTACGCAAGTAATCCCAGCGCTAAATTGAACCTCTTCAATAAATTAGAAAGCACTGAAAACATGCAGACCGATAACGAACAGCTATAGAGCTGTTACCTGATGCAGGCGACGATCGGTCAAAAGTTCAGGAAGTCTACCGCATTTACCTTGGCCATGAAGTTAGTCTTAATTCAGTGTGATTCAGTTGTTATAATACAGTCGCTGAAGCCCACCCCTCTCATACTCTCCACCTCTCGTAAGGGGAAACGAGTCCATACAGAACCAAGAGTGTAGAATCACATGTGAATGTGTGTGTGTGTGTGTGTGTGTCTTAACTCAAGGCGGGGCTTATAGTTCAACAGCTTGTATAGCAATGACAGCATGTTTCTAAATATGTCCATCTTTCCATTTTAATTGCCAAATTGCTAAATATCTGTTAGTTACATTAAATCAAAAGGTTTACTCCTCTCTTAACACGAGTAAACAACCCTGTTTTATAATCTGTTATTATTTTCATTAATGTATAGGCCTACAGTATTCAGTCAGCAATAATTAGGCAATATCATACGAGCACGACTGTGCTCTATATATTTTTTGTTTATTACTTTTCCGCAAACGGAAATAGTTGCAAAAGAAGCAAAGCATCAAACTTTTGGTCACCAAGCAACGCCGACCTTCATCCGGTCTGGAGCAGGGTGTGTGAATGGAACGGAGCGAATGATTTCCCCTCCCCTCTCAAAACGTAATCAGTCGGCTGTAGTTCCACTCCGGGTTTTTCATTTTTTCATCACTACAGGAACCTGCTCCTACAAGTGTCGACTCGTGTCTAGTTAGTAAACCTGGGGCAAGTTCAAGCTCAAACCGGTGTGCACCGTTTTGCTACGGTTTCCGGTTTGAACGACATGTTTCCTGGAAACGGTGTGCAACGGGGTTTGAGATGCGTTTTCTCTTGTTTGGTGGGTGTGTCAAACATGTCAGCCCAATCAGCAGCAACATGTATGTAAACCACGTGGTATTAAAGAGACAGCTCGCACAATGTAAATAACATAAAAAATAAATTCACAAGAGCAAGTATATTGTTTGCACATGTTTATTTACATTAAAGGCAAAATAACTGAAATAATAAGAGCACATGTATAGATCTGGAACTTCTTTAAGTCTGTCTAAATATCATTTAGTAATTGCAATGTCTTCTGGTCCATATCCTTTCCTTATGAAGGTGTGCTAGACACTGATTAATGTAACATAAAAATACTATACATATTTATATATTTTGCTATTGTATTATGGAGTGACACTTTCATAAACTTGATTGGGATGTTCTCTTTTATTGTGGACGGCAAGGGCAATGACTGTACCATCGAGCGTATTTTGCAGTATTAAACACGTATTTATACCGATTTCATCAGGCTCCGAAAATTCTTCAAAAAAAACCCCCACAAAGAATGGCCTTCTCAGCTGCCATAGTTGCAACTCTTGCGTCATCAGAACAGGTTGTTCAACGCACCACCGTTTCCGTTTAAAAAACGTTTTGCACCGTTTTTGTCGGGGCTGAAAGCAGCCCTGGTTCCGCGCCGATAGTGGTAGTACAGATAGATGCCTTGCCTAATCAATCTTACACACAAGCAATACATCTGTAATACAATCATACAAATAATCAATACACCTCTGAAAGCAATGCATGTCTCTTGCTCGCAACTCGTCATTGTTCTTTCCTTCTTCCAGAGATAAAACCTCTGCCCCTTACTTTTGTGTGTCATCGTCATACTGTTAAAGGTATGCATGCATATGTAACCACACATACAGTTTTTTTTTCAAACTTTCACAACCTATCAAGCCGGTGTTCTGTCGATTTTGTGCTACCCTGTCAGATTTTGCTACCTCCCATTAAAACAGTGGGCAGTAGCCTACAATTCGACAAGGAAAATGCTACCTGTAAAATTATAGTTTATTAACGTCTACACCTACCACAACCCTAAACCTACCCTTACAGTAATGCAAATACAGTAATTATGTGTTATGTTTGCGGTTGTAGCTAGAAGGGATACAGTTACAGGCAGTGTTGGGGGTAACGCATTACAAGTAACGCGAGTTACGTAATCAGATTACTTAACGCATTACTTTTTTAATTTACAAGAAAATATCTGAGATACTGCATTGCATATAATAGGAAAAAATGAGTCAGATAGCTGCAGTTACTGTGGAATAACAGAAACAGTTGAACATGTGCTCTTACATTGTGAGGCATATAATAGACAAAGAAAGCAACTTGTTGAAAAACGAAGAGGTATGGAAATCAATGACATTTCAGTTATGAATATATTTCAGAATGCACAGAAACATCTAAGGGTTTATGGTTTTCTTCTAAAATATCTGAGAGATACAGATTTGATGAGAAGAATTTAGTATTTTTATTTTAGATTTTTTTTAAATATTTGTAGTATATAATATGTTCGTTCATCGAGGCCTCACACTCCATCCCAGTAGGTGGCGGAAATGCACCTTAAGCTGGTTTGCCAACCGCCATTAAACACAAAAGAAGAAGAAGAAGAAGAAGAAGAAGTTAGCGATAAACAGAACTTTTAATGTGTTTTACAGTAGCATATACGCCTGCGCGGATGTAGCAGTATGAGGGTTACCATCTAGACACGTCTAAGTGGAATTTGTTTGTAGAAACATGTTGGTTGCGCTTGAATCTTGTAATTTAATTAATTGAATTTAATTACCATTTAAATGATCTAATTTAATTAGTAATTCAGTTAGAGTTTTTCTGCACAAATTTATTTTTACGCAGGAGTTCGTCTTTAAACTATAGAGACAACGTGAGTCAGTGTATGTTTGAAAATAAAGAGCAAATAAGCGAAGTCAAACACATTTACAGTCGAATTTCGAGAGATATCTAGCTATTGAATTTCGATGGGAAAAAGCAATTCTCGTAGTCTACCACAAGAGATCACTGTTGATTTTGTAAATGGCGTTTCCACAAACCGCAATGTTTTGAAAGTAGCCTACTGCGTGATAGTGGACAAAATGACAGATTTTTTTTTTTTTTTTTTTTTTTTTTTTTTTTTTTTTTTTTTTTTTTTCAACAAATTTTCTTTTTTTTTTTTTTTTTTTTTTTTTTTTTTACCAACAACAATTCTGCTCCTCCTTATATCTCTCTCCTTAAACATTGTGAAAAATGCAATTGATTGTGATCAGTATTCCAGCATCTGTAGGCTATTCCACCTAGATTTATGTAGGCCTAATTTGTTTCATTTAGCTGAGTTCTACAAGCACTCACTTAATTGAGTAGATCTGGAGGATTATGAGAGGAGAATGTCATATGGACTGTGCAGCAATTACACATTGCTTAGTGAAGCACAAACAGAACACATTCGATACAGGTATTTCAGCATTCTTTCTTTCCTGAAGGCATTTGACAATGCAAATGGCATGGTGTCCAGTTACTCAATGTCCAACTTTAGAGAGAACTGTGCTGAACTTATTGCAAAATTGTCAGACAGGCTCAAAGATGGAGAAAGATATAGAAATAACCAAAGAGAGTAGGGTGAGAGAAAGAAACCCATTGGTTGTCAGTTGCTCCACTGATAAGACATTTCTGTTTTATCTCTGAAAAAACCTGCTATAAACGGGGGCGCACAAAACCCAAACACAAGTTCTGATCATGGCATGGTCTTGTTTACAACCTTTGTAAAGCAGAGAATAATAAACAGTCTTAGACCATCAGCTCAGGACCAGCAGTCCTTGTTCAGGAGCTCTTGAAGCCGGTTTGGCCACTCCTCGGGCATTCTCTTTGAGGACATTACTTTGAACTGCTAAGCTAGATACAGGCACTGCATGAAAGAGACAAACAAGAAGGATTCTTCTAAATCAAAGGTATATTTTTATTACTCTTTTGTCGCATTACATAACACTTTCTTGTAGTGAAACAGCAGATGTACTGTAGTTTTCAAAAAATTAAATAAAATGAAATAAATGAAAACAGGCAAGGTTTCAGCTGTGCTCGAAGTAAAACCATGCTCAACAGGTAAGCACTTTACTTATGAATTTTCATCCGATTTCTTTTTAAACATGCATCAGCTACCATCATCTGTAAGTCAGTTGTAAGTTTGCGTTGATTTTCTTTATAATATAATTTTTTTTTTTATTAAGATAAGAATGACATGTAACCTTTCAGGGTTTTAATGATCTGTTTGTGGTGACAGGTGTATTTCTGAATATATATATATATATATAGCATACTAATTTAACATTAATAACTTGACTTAAATTAATTAACTGTAATTACAGTAGAAATGTGGAGGTGCAAATTTCTTTTTTACTTCAGTATCATGCAAGGTAGTATGTGCAATTTTAAGGCTGCTGAGAATAATAAATAGGAAACATGTAGCCAAAACAATACATTTATAGGTATATAGGTATAAGATCCAAATGTGGAAATATATACCAATAGACAACAACTGCTCTATCATTAGTTTGTTGAGAGGTAAAAGCACGTGAAAAAACACATGCAATCATGCGCAGCTGTTTGCAGAGTCTATTGATATTATCATTTCCTACAGATGAGCTCATGGGGCCCATCTACCCCAAACACATATAAGCCCCGTTCTTCATTATGCCTTAAATGTATGTTACATGACAACTATATTTGTGTATATAATATATGTTTATCAACAACCCATTATTAGCATCATGGAGCATAGCTCAAGGCCAGGGGTGAAGTTAAACCGCATGAATGGTGCCCTAGTACAGGCCAGACCTAAACCCCAGGCAAGAGAGCAGTGGGCTAATAAGCTGGAGTTTCTCTTGGCGGTGGCAGGGCACATCATTGGCCTGGGAAATGTGTGGAGGTTTCCTTACTTGTGCTACAAGAATGGAGGAGGTGAGTGCAAATTTATATTCAATTTTGTTTTATGGTGTTTAAGTTCCTGAGTTAACATAGGTTCTTAATATAAAATAATATTGTATCTTAAAAAAGTTCCAAAGACTCATACACAGAAGATAAAAATCTGTGGTAGTTTTTTATCATTTAAATATTTTGGGATATAAGTCTGAGTGTCTAAGGGCTTGAGATCAGTGCCAATCATTCTGTGTTTTTGACAAGAACCTCAGTGGTATGAATACATAAAAAGTATGTTCTCTTTTAAGATAAAGAACGACATGATATACATACATGCATGCATATATATATATATA